CGGTCCCCTGACAGGCCTCTGACAGGGGATGAACCAGGACTAAAGATGTCTTTAGTCCCAGTTGATAAAGATCAACAAATTTTTAACCGGGACTAAATAAAATTTTTTAGTCCCAGCTTATATTAGAACCGACCTAATAAAGATTATTTCTCCGGTAGTTTACTTTCATTACAACACACTATAGTTATTTATCGTTTCGTGTAAAAGGTCCAAATTATTCATCCTCTTTAAACCACTCCTCCGAGCAATTATCAAGGTGCCACTACATGTGCATGCATCTGCTGCTTGCTGCCGTGTCGCACTTCTCCTGCTATGCATCAATGCATGCTGCTCGCTGGTTGCCCAAATGGCTACTTAACTCTTGGTTGAATACTTGAATCTCATCTCTCAACCGTAAAATCAGATATAAGAGCTCCCCTATCTTTAAAAACCGGTATAAATAGACTTTTTTAATGGTTTGCTAACATAAAATGTGGGTCCTATATATCAATGACTCTCCTCTTTTCCCCTCACTATCTTCCTCTCTCCTCTCTTTTCCATCAGCCGACGATGTTGGCAGTGGAAATAGCAGCACCATCGTCTCAGCTAGGCCAAACCGCCATGTTCGTGAGCCAACCCACCAAGGCTGCGCGAGGATCTGATCGGCGGCCATGATGAGTTCTTCTATATATGTCCCACTCCCAGGAATCGCGGTGCGCAGGTGATCATGGTTCAGTGGCGGCGCGACCTCGCCGGCGCCGGCGAGGAGAAGGAGCGTTGCAGGGTCAACGACATGTCCATTGTCAACTGGTACAAGCCCGGCAGCAAGAGCCCCCTCAGGGGCGGCTGCTGGAGCCTACCTCGCCGGAAGGTGGTGTCCTCCGATCACCGCCTCCACGCAAGATCACACAAGGTGATCAATCAATCAAACAAGCAAATTAATCGAGTCACTCTAAGAATCAATCTTTGCAAACTACTTCTCCATTGATGCAACATTTTGCACTTTGCAACCAATAATTAATCTTTTGAAATCCCTTCTCCACTAACCCAACTGCAATCTGAATGAAGGTGAGCAAGAAGGTGCACCGACGAGATCAGGACCAAGAACAGCAGCTACAAAGGGATCATGCTGTGGCAGAGACCTATGACATTGACGGCAACCAACCACCGACGGATTACTGAGATGCCTGACCATGAGAGGAGCAGAGCAGATCGATGATGACGGATTGTTGTGCTTTGTGTTGTTTACTAAAATTGCGATGAACTTTGCCATGGTTGGCCTTGCCACCGACCCAGCTATGGCGATGCACCTCTTCTTGATGAACCCACACAGCAGCAGCAATCCCGGTCATCGACGTCACCGCCGCAGTCGGACACGCTGTCGGCTATCCACCAGCACCACGAAGCATTCCCTGCGTTCGGCGGCGCCGGTGCAGCTCGGCGCCGGTGCGGACAGCGTGGTGAAGACCAGGGGCTCTCTCCCTCTCGCATTCGCCATCGCTGCAACAGCTTGAGTCCTAGAGATGGCGAAGCAGGCGGAGGAGCTACGCGTCCGCGACGACATGATCAACTTCAACCGGCAACAGCAGCAGTAGCAGCAGGCAGCGGCGGCGGTGTCGGTGCAACATCTCCCGATGGAATTGCATGGCCAGGTCGGCACGCTGGGGCAGCCGCTCCCATCCCGCATTGCGGAATGCTTGGGATGACGGGGACGGCTACGGCGCTGGCCAGCTAGATCAGGGAGGGCAGCATCTTTGGTCCCACCTTTTTTTTTTTACTACGTTGCCATGTAGGTGCTACGTCAAATAAAGACTTGGTCAACGTCTCACGTAGGATAAAACCACCGTTCAAACAGCTCGAGGAGACAAATTGATCCTGTTTTTATAGTTGAGGGAGCCTCTATAGGGTGTTGCTAATGTGAGCGATCACCCGCACTCCCCTCCCCCTATACGCAATACGCTCCTTCCTCTTCTCCCCCTTCCTCCTCCCCTTCTTCTCTTTCTACTACAGTACATCACATTTTTTTAAAAGAAAAACAAAAGTTAGAAAATTTATGTATAGAAATACTATATATAAAAAATTTAAATTTAAATTCAAATTTGAATCGGGTATGTAAACTTTTGACTTATAAACTTTGGATCTATAAACTATAGGTGTATAAACTTTATATGTATAGAAATACTATATATAGAAAATATTTGAATTCAAATTCAAATTTGAAACGGGTATATAAACTTTTGACTTATAAACTTTAGGTCTATAAACTTTAGGTGTATAAACATTAGATGTATAGAAACTAGCCGGGTGGCCCGCGCAATTGCGCACCTAGCACCCAAACAAAATCATACATTTTTCAGTATAATTTTCCTTAAAATTTATTAAATAGCTATCTCGTTGTCTTAAGACTTTGAAAGACCAAACCTTATCATTTGCGTATTTCTAATTATATAGTTTTTAAAAGTCACACCAGCTGCTACCCCTTACTTCTGTCATATTCTTCTTTATTTGCTTGCTCGATCTACCACTAGTTCTATTCATTCTCCTTGAAACCTTTAAAAATTGGACTTGTAGTTTTTAGAGTTTATTGTCTTGTTGGGTTTCGTTTTTATAATTTCTAGAAGTCCCGTCAAACGCTGCCATTATACCCCTATACGGACCGTACACTGTCTTTTCTCTTTATTGCCATTGTGATTTTATAAATCGAACATAATTATCGTTCGGGTTTAATTTTTTACTTTCTAGAAGTCCCGCCAAACTGTCAGCGACTTTGCCATTGTACTCCTTTATGGCTCGCCCGCTGTCTCTCTTCTTTATTGTCATTGAGATTTTAAAATCGAACATGATTATTATTGTATTTTTTTTTTACTTTTTAGTAGTTCCCAACCTTTAACAATTGGATCTTGTAGTTTTGTAGTTTTTAGAGTTTATTGTCTTGTTAGGTTCCATTTTTTATAATTTTTACAAGTCCCGTCAAACGATGCCACAATACTTCTCTACGGTCCATCCGCCGCCTACTCTTTATTGTCATTGGGATTCTAAAAATCAAATATAACTATCGTTGAAATTCATTTTTTATTTTCTATAAGTCCCGCTAACCGTCCACGGCTCTACAACTATACTCCTATACACCCCGCCCACTGCTTCTCCTTTTTATTGCCACTGAGATTTTAAAAATTGAATATGATTATCAATGAGGTTTATTTTTTTACTTTCTAGAAGTCCCGGCAACTGTCTTGCCCATTTGCTTCACGGCTTGCCTGTCGTCGCTCCTTTTAATCGTCATTAGGATTCTATTTGGTGTTTTATTAACAATTTTTATATGTCGTATCAATCGTCACCACTCTACTCCTTTCTAAGCATGTTACTTAATTTATCTTGTCATGTGTTTCAGATGGTCTTTTTTTTCAGTAGTCTTTATTTTTTTTATCACCAATTTTAGTTATTTATAAATTCTATTCCTAATTGAAATATTTTTTTCTTTTTCTAATTTTAGATTTTTTTTCAAATTTTAATTAATACCGTATAGTGTTCTTATAATATTTTTATTTTTGAATTTCAGTTGTTTCAAAATATATTGCTACTTGAACTCTCTTTTAATTTTTCTAATTTTAGATATTATTTTATTTTTAATTTTGAATTTTAATTAATCTCGTATTGGGTTCTTATATGTATTCTTTTTTCAATATTGCTTATTTTTAATTCCGAATTTCGGTTTATTTTAAATATTATTTCTACTTGAACTCTTCTTTTTTTTTTGCTAATTTTGGATTTTATTTTTATTTTTATTCTGAATATTATTAATCTCGTCTTGGGTTCTTATATGGACTCTTCTCTCAATATTCCTTATCTTTAATTTCGAATTTCAGTTATTTTTTAATTGTATTCTTACATGGACTCTCCTATTCTTTTCTAATTTTGGATTTTATTTTATTTTTATTCCAAATTTTGATTAATCTCGTATTGGGTTCTTATATGGACTCTTCTTTCAATATTGCTTATTTTTAATTCTGAATTTCAGCTATTTTTAAATTGTATTTCTACTTGGACTCTCCTTTTCTTTTTCTCCGATTAATTTGGGAATTTCTAGCCCTCACGGCGAACGTGGTGACTCCTTTCAAAGCTGTTTTAATAATATAATAGATAGATAGATACTATATATAAAAAATATTTGAATTTAAATTCAAATTTGAATCGGATATATAAACTTTTGACTTATAAACTTTTGGTCTCTAAACTTTAGATATGTAAACTTGAGGTCTATAAACTTTAGGTGCATAAATTTACTAAAATAGGAAAGTAATACGGTGCCAAAAAAGGAAACTAGGTGGAAAGAGGGAGGGGAGACGGGGGCGAATCCTGATCTCCATGGCGATCGATCGACCATTAGAAGTTTCGGCCTGTATGCCCTGTTTTATGGTTGAGGGATACGATTCAACCAAGGACAATAATTCAGGGACTACAAATAGACTTATTCCTAGCTCTTCCTTCTCAAGAGTGGGCTGGGCCTATGGTCATCTAGGCCTCAACACAGCCCACTAGCTTTTCTCTCCTCTATTTCCTTTTCTTTTTCATCAATTTTTTAGGGTATCACACGGTGCTAAAGGGAACTAGCCGTGAAAGAGTCCATTTGTAGAACAAATTTAGAGCAAAACCGAAGGGAATACAATATTTACGAAGCCACTTTTTTTACTAAAAAATAGTCAAATCATTTTTACAGTGTAAAGTACGTACACTTATATTATAAAGCCACTGTAAATTTTAAAGAGCTGAGGAGATAATAATACAGGAAGAAGCTTGTATTAAACTGTCGATACATTTTATTCTTTTTTTATATTGATACATTTTATTCCTAGTAAGGTAGAATGAGGATTTCCTAGAAAAAAGTAGAATGAGGATAGAACATCAAAATACAATAAAAAAGGCATCAAGTGTGAACTTGTTTGTCTCTTCTCGTCGTAGCTGATTTAAAGTTTACACTCCATATACGCATGGCCATGTCAGTCTAAAACTGGAATAATCCTTATTCATCCTTCAAATAGCTCGTTGACCATGTCTTCCATGTCCTGTAGATCACTGCTGCATTTCTCCAGCTCCGGATGGTCCTCCAGGTACCTTTTGTATCCAGTAATGACCTTATCAGTGATGGCTTCTCGCAGTTTCTGCCTGAGCCTTGGGTTGGGGACCTTCCATAGCTTCTGATGTGGAGTACATGTTTTCTGAAATTCTGACTTGAATCTTGACAGCTGTGAGGAGTGTTTAGGAAACCACAGCGGCATCTTATCCTGTAGGCAATACAGAACAGGTTCCCAGGAGGCAAGCATGTACTTCTCTTGGTACTGCATAAATTTGAGCGTTGTGCCTGACGGAAGGATGTACACGTAATTGCTGGGCTCAAGAAACTCTTCTCTTACGAAGTAGGAATTGTTAAGCAGGAACTGGTACCTCAGGCTAGGGTCAGAGAATGACTCTGAGTTCTTCTCCAGCTGATCTTCAAAGTTGATGAGCATTTGCTGAATCATGGTGATCGGAAGTTGAGAGCATCGGTCGTCCGAGTGAGGATCCCATTTGGAAAGCAGGATGTGACGCAACAAGCCCTCGTATCCCCAAAACAATCTTGCATAGTCCACAATTAGCCGAGTAGCTTTGTGGATTTATCCACTATGCTGAAAATTTTCCAAGGAATCCCTATTCAAGACTCTAGTGATGTGAAACCATGTGTGGTTATAGTTCTTTTGTGATGGGAAATTGACAAGTACCGGAAGTGCAAGAAGTGTGTGCGTAGACTAACATTGGTCAGGTTGCGACATCTGTGCCAAGACAACGGTTGTTTGATTCATGTGTGTGCAGGTGATCGGGGTCGATCTTAGTCAACGACGGATCGGTACTAGACTCAGGGAGGAGTTGAGGTCCAGAGCGATCAAGGATGCTGGGTGACAAGATTGGACACAAGGTTGCACACGGTGGACGGACACCATGTGAGGAGGTCTTCGCAACGGAGTTCGCAAGGTCAAGTGCAAGTGCCGGGTTCGCGAAGAAAATGGAGAATGGAAGAGGAGCTTGTATACATGCACTGGTATGTGCATATGCAAGCATGGGCAGTGGTGCTTCGGTTATGCATGCGTGCACATGGCCGAATGCCATGCACGGGCTCAAGACATGCATGTGTGCATGAGGAGCTTGCTAGCCCATGGGTGCATGTGTGTTGTGATTGGTTGGCAGGGAGGCCAAGCCAATCCAGCCCTTCTTCGTGGCTCAAGATGATGGATGGATCAGCTGGCAGGGAGGCCAGGCCGAGCAGGCCCAAGACAAGACGACGGCCCATGGCATCGACACCATGCATGGGCAAGCGCGGGAAATCGCGCGAGGCATGCGCGCGCAGTGGACACGCGGCGGCAAGGAATTCGGTGCGCACGGGGGTGGGACCCACGCGGTTTTCGCGAGCGCGCGCGGAGCGGCTCGGCGAGACGCGTGGCGGCTCCGGACAGGGCGCGGGCATGCGCGCGCGCTGAGGAAAAGGAGACAGGACGCGCATGGCACGGCTGGGCAACGTGGCAAGTTTCGATTCGGCAAGACGGAGACGACGCGGATCGATCTCCCGATCGGTGCATGCTGATTGGCTCAGAGGAGCCTTCTCACAGATCACGGGGCCCACGTTGAGGAGCACGCGGGCACGCACATGGGAGGAATTTGGTGCAGACTCTTTGTGAAAAGAGGATCCCGATGTGGCAAGCGACGTGGCTTCAATCCAGGCTACTTCCTTAGGATGTAAGGAACAACCTAAGGCCCAGATTGCATCTGAGTTAGGGTTTCGCCCTAAAGACATTTGTGACAATGTCTTACGAGGTCTTAGGCTATAAATGGAGAGGTGGATGCAAGGGTGAAGGTTGCTTCTTTTGTAATCCTTTTGAGATGCTCGGTGAGAGAGTTTCGGTGTGAGTTTGGAGTGTGTTTGCCCGAGAGGCTTTTGTATTAGGATTAGTTTGGAGTGTGTTTGTCCGAGAGATTTTAAAGTTTGTGTTAATGTTCCTCTAAAGGTGTATGTTTGCTCCTAGTTGAGCGGTTATTTTGCAACACCGATGAATAAAATGATTTGAAGCATTTCGTTTTGTCTTCGCCTTTTAAATTCCGCAATTTAAATTCCGCTTGCGATTTGAATTTCGCGATGACGAGTTTTGCTATCTTCTCCTCACCTCACTTCTAGATTCGAGAATTCCATCTCTCTTCTTTTCTAGATCCGGCTTCTCTAATAGCCGCGGTTCTAGTAAGAATTTTGAGAAATCCGGCTTGATGAGTATTTTTGGGGACAAGTTTTGAATTGCTATATTCACCCCCCACTCTATAGCCGTTCTTGGTCTTTCAATTGGTATCAGAGCCCGGTTAAGTTCGTTGTAACCTAACCGTGGCAACGAATGCCGCTATGGAGGAAAAATACTCTGCGAAACCATTTGTTTTCGATGGACACAATTTTGTCATTTGGAAGGCACGAATGGAGGCCTACCTCCAGTCGCAAGGGAATAATGTGTGGAATAAGGTTAAATCTCCTTACACTGTGCCCGATGATGATGACATCACGCCTGCAAATGTGGCTCAGGTTGATTTTAATTATCGTGCAAGAAATGCAATCATTGGTGGAATTTCTTTTGGTGAATTTAATCGTGTTTAACACCACAAGTCCGCTCATGACATGTGGACTGCTCTGTGAAATTTCCATGAGGGAAACAATGATATTCAATTGGTTCGTCAGAATCAATTTCATAAAGAATATCAAAGATTTGAGATGCACCCAGGAGAGTCCATTGATTCTTATTTCAAGCGTTTTGGAGAAATTGTTTCGAAGTTGTGATCTGTTGGAAAAGAATTTTCTGATAATGATAATGCTCGCCATCTTTTGAATTGTCTTGATTATGGTGTTTGGGAAATGAAAGTTACTTCCATCACAGATAGTGCACCTCTGAGTGACCTTACCATGGACAAGCTTTACTCAAAGCTAAAAACCCATGAGATGGATGTTTTCCATCGGAAAGGCCTCAAACACTCGATGGCTTTGGTAGCTGATCCCTCTGGTAGTACTTCTTCTAATGACTCAGCTTTTGTGTGTGGTGGCTTCTCTCTTGCCGCTTTACACTCAGTCACTGAGGAGCAATTAGAGAAGATCCCTGAAGATGATCTTGCTCTTTTTGCTAGAAAATTCTCAAGAGCTTACAAGAATGTGAGAGAGAGAGAAAGGAGAAAAACCAATGAACCATTTGTGTGTTTTGAGTGTGGAGAGCCTAACCACATAAGAGTGAATTGTCCCAAGTTGAAGAAGAAGAGTGACAAGACGACCAAGAAGCCCGAGGGACAAGGGCGAAAGGGGAGAAAGGATTTGATGAAGAAGGCGATCCACAAGGTCTTGGCGACTCTTGAGGAGGTGCAGCTTAGCGACATCGACTCCGATGACGATGATCAAGAAAAGGGGGACAAGGACTTCTCCAGGATGTGCTATCTCGCCAACAACGAGGACTTCATCAACCTGTGTCTCATGGCACTTGAGGATAAGGATGACTCATCGGAGCATCTTGAGGTATGTCTTGATGATATCCCTTCCTTGGATGGTTCTCCTTGTGATGATTCTTGCTCAGATAATGACTCTGTTGATGATGAACTAAGCAAAGAAAGAATGGCACACTTGATGATTGAAATTAGTGACAAGTATAGGTCTTCTAAGTATAAAATTGAGAAACTAAAATCTGAAAATGATGGAATGGCGCTAGAAATTGCTAGGCTTCGATCCATGATTCCTGAGGAGGATACATGTTCTACTTGTGCTTCATATCTTTCTGAAATTAATCTCCTCAAGAATAAGTTGAAATCATGTGCTTTAGGAGCTGGGAATCCTTCTAGTGCTAGTGCTGCTTGCTCTACTTGCTATAAAATGAAAGTTGATATGGGTTTGCTTGAGATGGAATTGAAAGAATTAAAAGAAAAATTTGTTCATGATAGGATTGGTAGGTGTGAAAATTGTCCCATTTTCACTAGTGACAATGATGAATTAAGACAACAAGTTGCCATGCTTAGGACCAATAATGATTTGTTAGAATCTTTTGCTACTAAGGAACCTGTTCATTCTTCATGTGCTAATTGTGCTATCCTGGATACTGAACTAAAAGATGCTAAAACTGTCATTTATTCTATCAAATCTATTGATTCTTGTTCATCATGCATTTCTCTGAAAGTTGATCTTGAGTCTGCTAAGAGAGAGAACTCATACCTACAACAATCTTTAGAGAGGTTTGCTCAAGGAAAGAAAAAGTTGAACATGATCCTAGACCAATCCAAAGTGTCCATAAACAATCAAGGTATAGGCTATAATTTTGCTGAGTCTTTGAGGATAAGTACCCATGAAATTTTAGGTGTCACAGATGGGATGATATAACTAGCTCAAAAACCTATAACCTTCAAGTCTGCAGGTTTCATTGGAAACACTAGTTCTAGTTCACCCAAAACCTCAGAACCAAAGATGGTACCTATGACTAGCAAGTCTAAGCCTATAGAGTTACCTAGACCCAAAAATCCAAAACAAGTTGAGCACAAGCAAAACCAGAAACAAACCAAGCCTGTAGAGAAAACCAAGTATGAGTGCACCTATTGTGGGAAAGCTGGTCATTTGGTAGGTTTCTGCTTTAGAAAGGCTAGAAAAGAGCGACAAGAACGTCTTAGGACTAGAAGAGCTACTAGAGTCCCTGAGAGGTTCGAGTGTGCGTGTCATTGTCGTTCAAGTGGTGTATCTCGCTTTCCTCGCCGAGATGCGCACCCTCGACGTGGCCTAGCAGGGTTGGGGCAAAACAGACATGGTCATCTTGCATATAATTATGCTCATAACACTAAAGATGCTTGTACTCCTCGCATGGTTCAGTACTGGATTCCTATGTCATTTCTCACTAACCCCAGTACTGAATCATCAAGATCTGCTTTGTCTTTCTTGTAGGATTTTGGAGTGGGGAGAAGTAATTCTTGGCTTGTGGACTCCGGTTGCTCACGCCACATGACCAGTGAAGCCAAGTGGTTTACTTCTCTCACTCGTGCATCCGGTGATGAGACCATCACTTTTGGGGATGCGAGCAGTGGACGCGTGATGGCTAAAGGAACAATCAAGGTCAATGACAAATTCATGCTGAAGGATGTCGCGCTTGTAAGTAAGCTTAAGTACAATTCGCTCTCTGTTTCACAACTCTGTGATGAAAATCTGGAAGTTCGTTTCGAAAAGGACAGGTCTCGAGTTCTTGATGCTTCTGAATCTCCTATTTTTGACATTTCTCGAGTTGGTCGAGTTTTCTTTGCTAACTTCGACTCTTCTGCTCCTGGTCCTTCTCGTTGTCTCATTGCCTCAGAGAATAGGGATTTGTTTTTCTGGCATCGTCGTCTTGGTCATATTGGCTTTGACTACTTGTCTCGCATTAGTGGTATGGATTTGATTCGGGGTTCGCCTAAGTTGAAAGCTCCGAAAGGTCTTATGTGTGCACCATGTCGTCATGGAAAAATGACATCTTCCTCCCACAAGCCTGTTACAATGGTTATGACAGATGGACCGGGATAACTGCTTCACATGGATACGGTTGGTCCTGCTCGGGTCCAGTCAATTGGGGGGAAGTGGTATGTCTTGGTT